GGACACTCACCAACATGTTTTTGTGACCTTTTCAAGGCCGGCTTGGACTGAAAACACGGGGCTTTCTTTTTGATATGAGTTCACCTTGATACCGTAAGGAACTGTCCTTTTCCACAGAGTCGCCCTTGTCGACATAATCAAGAAGTACCAACTTTCCAAAAGACATCAACGCAAAGTTTCTTTTTTGAGAGTGACTTTGAAATGTTTCCAAAAAACTGGACTGTTTCTGAAAAACTGACATTGGAATGTTGGTGAATCACTGGTTTCTTTCCCACCCTGTATGCTGTGACCTCGCCTCGTGAGGCTGTGCGATTCCGCACAGGCTTCTAGTACGGTGTGCAGCAATAGTTACGTGATGCACTATGAAAAAAACCTATTTTCAGGCTTCTACCCACAAAATATGAGAATTGGTGCCAAATACACGGTGTACCACGGTATGCTACAGTAATCCTCATCTTTCATTTTGCGACATTCGACAAACTGCATTTTAAGACGATGAGAGTTGGAGGTGCAGTGACGGACTACTTGACACACTTTCAATCGAGGACCATCTGCACTTCTTCAACGTACACGTCAGCGCTTATGGCATCAGCGGCTGCAGTACACCTATGGCTCCTGCAAGCGAACTGCAAGTGCTAGAAAATTTGCTTCTGAATATGTACAGAAAATTGTTGTACTTGTTGAAGTAGGCTAGGCTTCGCGTTTATAGTCGCGGTTTCAATCGCGCGACTGTCGTTCATGGACCGTTGCTCAATGCTTTCTTTGATGGGGTAAATCTACCACAAAACACTTCTCGATCAAAAATCATCAAGTACACGATTCACTGCTTGAATGACAAGATCGAATGAGTGGCACCTTACACAATTTGTTAGGTGAGAGTGGGGAACCTTATGTTTACCGTTCGTGATTTCTTAGTTCAGAAATCGAATGCCCCTCTCCGATTTCGCTGTACTTCCTGACCAAATTACTCTCCCAGAGCTTGGACTACTGCGCAAGCTGGACGAGCTGCGTGTTTCCGTTTCTCAAGGCGTGCGCTGGCACGGACGAGCGCTTGGATTCGCGCCGCAGAGGGAATGCTTTATACGCGCAGTGCGAAGTGCGCATAAGTCGCTAAAGAGGCCCGTCGAAGCTGGCGAAGGAAGAGATGGCATAAAGGACGAGTCGCAGCGACATGCTCCCGTGCTGTCATATGGGACGTAGTTTTATGGTGGCACTATTTAACTTTACGCCTACGCTTACGTATTGGGCACTGCGACTCGGCCACTTTGCGCGTCTGGGTTTCTGCTTCGCAGCGGACGAAGGGCCTTTTTGGGCGCACCCACAAATGGGGGACGGAGTTACGAAGGTGTTGCGAAAGTTACGCCTTCGCAGCGCCTTTCGATTGGCGGCGACACAACTTGGTAAAATCATGCCTAACTGTCTCCTACTTTGATTGACTATAACTTTCTTCATTTACACATGTCAAAAAAGGAAGAGCCTGAACAACGCACATAGTTTCTACATATAAGCATTTTTCCCAACACGTTTTTCGCATGAGTTTAAAGCCGTCAAGGATCTGTGTTGTGATCTGAAGATGTCGAAATTTACATGCGAGCTTTTTTTTCCTTGGAAGACAATAACTTTCTTCACTGACAATCTTTCAGAAATCTAGGAAAACAATTGCAAAGAATAAGATTTACTCTTTCTCATCATTGAAACGCACATTTACCAGACGCTACGCCTATTTACAGCCTTTCTCGCCGTATTCACTGACGTCGATGTTGAAGTAGTGAAGGTGATCAGGGACCGATACGGTGATATCCAAGCCATCGCTGCAGTTTTTGTCCTCATCGGCTAAATATCAATTTCGTAAGTGAGCTCATGGATGAAAATTTCAGATTACTTACCATCGCAAACTTTGAATGAGGCACCGGCCTTCATGTCATTGTGATAAAAAGCCTGAAAAACGAATATTTCAAACGGCCACTTTTTCTAAACGGTTGTGCTGAGCGGATGCTGGACGCGAGCGGTCGCAGTGCGATGCGAACAGAATTGGTTTCACCAAATCGCTGCGACCGCTCATTCCAACTGGGGTTCTTATTGTTTTGAGTGCACATGCGAAGGGGTAAAAAAAACTCGGTTCCATTCACTTTTTCACCCTCTATTCAAGTGCTTCGTGGAAAGTGGGGGGCTTGCCCCGAAGTTCCCTTCAGAAAACAGTTCGGATAACCATCAATTTCCGAGGTACCCTGACACGAGAGCACGAATACTGGACCCTTAAACCGCTAAACAGCCCGGCAACATTGCAGTATCACATTTGTTCGGCGCTGGCGCCAAAGGCAAGAGCTTCAATGCCGCACGGATGTGGTGATGCTTCCCATGGCAACAAATGTTTACCTTGATATGCCGTAAATTTCGGATTTTGAGAGAAAAATACAGTTCATTTCTCAAAGAAAATCGGATGGATGAAAGACAGGGCCAAAATTCTGCAAATTTTTTTGGTTACAGCCCACGGCTAGTCAGCCCTGGTCATAGCGACGGTCATGGATATACCCGAGTGGAACGAACCTCAGATTTGTGGTGACGATAGCCTTCTAGGTTCTCTGGTGGCACATGGGGTACAACGTCTCTCCAATGTGTGACACGGTAGCTGTACGCCATCTGAAATGTTCAAATTAAGGGGATGTTGAGCCCGAAGATCTGGTGTAGACGGTCACAAGGCTCATCGAAAGTCAAGGTTGAAGTCGAATTGCTGATTTCCATTTGGTTCCCAATTTAGCCAGACTGATCGCAACATGCACCCCTGGCCAGACCTTTATCACTTTCGATCTGGCAGTACCTGGCTATCATGTGCTGCTGCAAAATCCTTGTTACCAGTTCGTGGCTGGCCGTATGTGACCAGTTCGACGTTGTTAGCTGGCACGAGCTTCGCGGCGACAATGTAAGAGGCAGCTAATGAGGCCATCGCTCCTCCAAGAGAATGCCCGGTCACCTAAAATAAATGGTCTCTAATGGTGAGTGAAAGTTTGCTATTTCCTTCAATAATCGATTATTGATTGGACCCTTTCAGACAAGTCAACTTGTCACGGTTGCAGTTCGGTGCTATGGGAGATCACATTTTTTTGATCTCTGAGTTTTTTGGTAATTTGTAATGGAATTTTTCCACTGCAAATTACCACAAGAGAATTTTGACGTAACTTGGGATCGATTATCGATTAACGGCAACAACGAATTTGTTGTTGCTTCACTATGAACGGGATTTTTTTCTCCATTTCATACCATAATGGACCACAATACTGCGCTAGGTTCTTACTGTAAAAAATCGATTATTGATTGCTAAAAAAATCGATTATTGATTGCTCATGAGGAGGGGTCTTCCTGAGTCGAAATGGAATACAACGATTTTTGTGGACTCACCCAAATCTGATATGTGGGATATTTTGATCTGAGTGTGTTGAAATCGTCCTTCATACCACCGTTCCACAAGTTCATGAAAGCATCGCTGAAGTATTTGGACGCCTTTCCGCCAGCGATCCATGCCACCTGAAAGCCACATTAACAATTTGCTAACAAGTAATGAACTTTGAATAGAATTCCAGGACTTTCGGACCATCAAGGACAATTCATAGATTTTCCAGTCAAATTATTCCAGGGATCAGTTCAAGCTGATCGAAAATCATTCCACTAGGGAGATGAAAAAATCGCACGGTTCCAGCGAGACTGGCACCAAATCGCCCAGATAACGCGGAAATGCGTCAATGCGTCGCGGAAACGATAAGGTGCCTTATGGTGTTATAGAATTCAGAAATTGTGAAACTTGGGACTCATGAAGTTTACTCTTTGTAGATCCCCTAGTTTATTTATTGATGCGTACGCCTCAGCGTTGGTGGTACTCTAGCAAGTGATTTCATAAAATCGAGGTAAAGATATTGGATTGCGATATGGGGGAGGGGGTGAGCAAAGTTTGGAGCTGCTTCGAAAGTGGGTCCATTCCAGTTACGGGGACGTCATGATGCGGTTTGTCCTGAAAGCTGCAGTAACTCCGAGCCAGGGGAGTAGGGGGTGGAGGGGGGGGAGTCACTTGACATGCGTGAAAAGCTGGAATGTTCGAGTTCACACTAGTTCGCGGAGAAACTTCATCATGATATCCCCCTAACTGCAGGAAACCTTTAGAAGTTGAAGGACTACTCAAAACGGTATCGAAAGTTCATCCCCAAAAAAAGTTAAAGCACCCCGAAAAGCCCATCCTAAAGACCGTTTTCATCTGTTATGATTTCTACAAAAGTTATCCAAGTTTGATAGATGGCTAAGTTGCTTCCACGAACCGCTTTGACCATACATCTGCGCAGTTTCCTCACCATATTTGGACTGAAGTCTACACAAAATGCTAGATAAGGTACCTCCCCTATCCATGGGCGTGATTACCGTGCATGTTGGCAACAGCAGACATGTGGAATACCCGTGAAGAAACAAGGAAAAGAACATAAAGCGAAACACTCAAAATGAAGCTTTTTTCGGGCATGGGACGAGCCCACGAAATAAGTAGCCTAAGAGACATGGGGCGTCAAGGCAAGAGAACAGGCTCGGATACGAGGAAGCATAGGCGACAAGCGAGACGCAGACATGAGCGCATCCCAGCAGTTGGCTTGCACGCAATTCGGCCCAGCAACGATCCCCCAACCACCGTGATTGATTTTGCGCTCAGCATTCATTCATCTGGAGAAGCAATAGAGGAGGGTGCTCAAAATAGTACCAGGATGAGCAGAGTATGGCCAAGAAGTCAGAATAGAGGAGCGGTCAATAGTGGCAAAAAATACCTGACTGCTGAACACGCTTTGGTCGGATTCAACGACCAGCTGAATAAACGAGTCTGTACCTCTGAAAATCGAGTACCATCTTTCTGATTCATGAAATTCTTAATGAGACCTTGTTGGATAAGCTTTACCTGAAGCTGAGAACAATCGCCTTATCGCCGTTGAGAACGGCCGTATACCCAGAGCATACATCATCCTTTGCTAGTGGACCACATTTCACATTCAACTGACGTTTCAGCTTAACATTCGAATGTAATTGATGAATTATAGATCGATAAATCAATATCGAGACCTACCACAGCATCTGTGAAACGGTTCGTAAGGCACGTTTGTGGCGATTTACCGTAAGCGGCCGCGGCCAATGGCAGCATTTTCGAACGGGCAACCGCGTCCGAATACGTCGCATCGGCCGAATAAGGAGCGCAAGTGTGAACGGGAGCAAAAGGCAGAGGGCGACGCACTGTCGCATGGCGCTGAAACTTCTTTTTAAACCAGTGG